TTGCATCTTTAACTTAAAGGTCAGCCCACAGCAAACAGCCACAGAAAACAAACTTCTCATAGCATTTGCTAAACTCCAGGTCCTTAGGAATTAAAATATTTTCATTGAAAACAAGTCAGATCTTCCCAAGTTTTTAAGCACTAATTTTCACCAGGAGAGAAGGAATCCTCAACACCAGTATTTTAGATACACACTAGAGACTGCACAATATTGTTACTTCATCCTAAAACATCATTCAGGCATTCGAAGTGTTTTGTTAGGAAAGATTATCTACCAAAATGAAAGATTAATTCAGAACTAGAACTTCTTCCTACAATATTTAAGTTACCTGTACCTAAGCCTGAAATGCTTATGTGTTACTTTCTAGGTTAGTAAGATCTAATCAAATGGTTAAATCCATGGGAACCTGAGCCACCTAGAAAATGCTTTGGTATGTTTTAAGCATTGCAGCACTTTGTTCTTGTTTTAGAAACTCTTAGTGACAGCTTGGAGGAACAGCTTATGAAAATTTTCTAATCATGTTTAAATATTTTAAAATCTCCAAGCATCTCTGAGTTGGGTTTTATTTTTTATATTATAAGTTATGGATGAGAACCAGCAGAGTCCGCAGCACAGACACACATCTGTACTGTAGAATGGAGTGCTTAATATTGCCCATTTCCTTATAGGTTTTTTCAGCACTATTACACATAAACAATTTAATTCTCTTTAGGTGTAATTTTAGCTCAGTTTTGTGAAAAAGCAATATATGATCACCGTCTACGCCAATGTTTTCATCTTCCCTCCTTTTTCTTGTAAATACTAGAACAAAAGCCTTTGTCTTCATTCTCAGTTTCTTGGCACAGTTTTTGTTGGACACAGGGAAGCACCATGAAGTAGCATATGAAGGCTAACTTATACACAAAGTTATTTCAGTGGCATGCTAGGATATATTTTTCTTGTGTACTTAAGCAGCAACACTCTGCTTAACGCTGTTGGAATGGTGTCCAACTGAAGTATTTATTTTTAAGACTCCCTTTTGCAGTAACTTAAAGACATTGATTTTACAATGCCTGGTATAAAACACAAATTCAGAAGTTTTCAATCTTACACTATCACTTTAATTTTGTATGCCTATAGAAGACTTCTAGGTAAGTCCAAAACACTTACATTGTAAAAATATCAAACTGACAATGAAGCTTTATAGCTGTCAAGTCTGCCAGTAAGGAAAAATGGTTCTGGTACATTTGATACATTGGACATGTTTTCAGGATTATCCCATGAATCTTTAAGATGGTTAAGTTAAAAAAAAAAAAACAAAAACCACAAACTGTGGGAAAGTTCAAATAAAGTAAATGGAAGGACTTCACCTTGCACTGAAGTTAATGGATCTGGTCTCTAGAACTGTAAATCATACTTCATATCTACTGAAATGAGAAAAAGAATTTGGGTTAGTACCAAACTACTTAGCATAAACTGTCTAGCCAGATGCTAGTGATGAGAGAAAGCCAGAGTCTGAACAGATTCCGATTTAAGATACAGGTAAGTGGATTTGCAATAATCTAAGTAACAGAATTCTCTCTTATCTCTTAAAATAGTTCCCAGTTCTGTCTCTGTTACTGAGCTTTTATTTCTCTATTACGTGAAGGTAGTGTATCTTAACATATAAATATAGTCTTGGTCCCCCCCCCGGCCCCCTTCCTTCTCTCCCACCCCCTATTTTTTAAGGAGGGAATCAAACCCAGTACTAGAGTTCATAGCAACGTTTAGCACAGCTCGTTTTGCTACCCCACCTGCAGCCATCCTTCCAAGAAGACAGCAGTGAAGAACGATTAACATTTAGTACCATTTACATCCACATGGGAGTGCTAAGCACGTACCATAAAAATGTCCATTTACAGCGGTTTCAAGTATAATGTTAATCATTTCTGGCATTGGAATTAAGCATCTGTAGCATGACCACGTAGCAGCATGTTTCTTTAAATGCCCAAGTTAACCTTTTAAATCCAGATTTAAATTTAGGTTAGGCCTTTAAGAATGCTTGTTTCATAAATGCAAAGCACCCAACAGCATCTAAGTCATACTGATATGCCAGGTGTACAAGTGCAGTGCCTTAATTATTTTTTTTTAAGTGTCTGAGAAGTTCTACACGTAAATGCTCTTCAGTAGAGAGAAGGAGCATTTTATTTATAGTCACAGTACAGGTGCAGCTCATGTGACATTTGTAAGAAAGATTATTATTGTAACTCTACAAAAAAAAAAGAATTACAGTGACATACTGCAAAGCCTTGGGCACATACAGCCCAAACAGGCCTACAATCAAGTGATCAGTACATTAAGTGAAGTCTAAGTTTATCCTATGAGGAAAAAAGATTGCAGTGAGTAGAAAGAACAGGAGAAAACTGTGTTTTCAACTTCATAGTATTTGTACACAATGATCACTAAGTTCTTAAAATTAGTAATTTTTATGTACCAGCTGTGGCTTGTATTGGATAAATGACTATAGCAGTAAGCACTAGCATACACCATTACTTACCCCATTTCATCACCTTACATATAGGCCTAAAGAGTCTTCAAATACATCTATACCATCCAAGTTCGCAAATGCAATTTAAAGCTATTGCAAGAGTAGAGAAGTGGATTTTTCTGCTAATTAAACACACACACACATCCCCTTTTGAGGGCTTCGATACAATGGAAAAAATTTAAGCACTTAAGGGAGGGCCAAGCCAGAACAGGAATCGAATGTTTTGAGCTAGGGCTGGCATTTAAACTTTCCTTTTGTATTACAATAGGAGTTTCTATCAAATTCAGCAGTAGAATGAAAGCTTACACTGTCCAACAAAAGCGTAATCTTTACTTGGTTCTATTTCAGCACTTTTGTATATTTTCCTTCCAGAAACAGGAATAAGTGTAAAAAAACTCAAACACCTCATCCTGCGTGAAGAAATTCTACTCTGCAGATGTATTACAGAAATCCCACTGAGACGTGATGGTGGTGATGTGGACAATTAACTTTCTAGACTATCAAAGTATTTATTATTCAGCCACCAGAAGAAAACCACTGTTTAAGCTCCTTACTGGAACACTTTTCATTGTGTTATTTTCAAGGCATGGTTACCACTAATGAAATTAATTCATGATTTCTAAAATGCAGTATTACTACAAGTGGCTTAACATGACCATATTTAAGATACTACAAAGCTTAGAATTCAGCCTCAAAAAAAAATTATATTCTATGAATTAGTATTGAAGTAACAAGTATTTTGGGAGATTTACAGACTGACATCAGATTCATTTATATGATACAGAAAAAGGACTTTCATATAAAAGTTTTGATACTGGCTTTTTAGTTGCTCAAGGTCTGCTAAGAGCAAACAGATAAAAACATAGGTACACCCATGCACACACAGCTTCCACAGGCATGTGATGAGATTAAGAAGCTTATTTTAAATAACAAAACCAAACATCAGCAGAATTTCTTTCTTAGCTAAGTTTTACCAAGGATGTATTGTAAGGAACATTGTTTATTGTATTACTTTGATAATGCACAAAAATATTTGAAAAGCACATCAGTAATATTCTCATGTACAACTCGTAGCAATTGATCCCCTTAACTGAAAGAAAAAAACCCACACTTGAATACTCTGTATTGCATTTTATAACTTTAACCAGACTTTTTAAAAACAAGTTGTTATTGTTTAAACTGTGTTCACACTTGTCACTCAGTACAAGACATTCTTAAAACAAGCAGCATTTCCTTTATATTAGTATCATTTCAACACTTAATGCAGGTTTATCTTTGCTATCAGGTTTTACTGAAGATTTGAAAAGAAAATTGAATTTACTGCAGAAATTAATACAGAACATAAATGGTTAAACATGGTATGCTAATTTTCTACTTTGCTTTCCCAACAACGCAAAACTATAAACACCAACAAGAACCAGGTAGCTGTTAGTTTGTGGTTTTGTTACATGTTTACGCCATGGCAATTACCCACATTCTCAGCCAACTTGCTTAAATAGCTATTTTAGTTGGACTGAAACCCTGGCAAAAAAAGGAATTTGCATGTGAGTTCTACCACGGTGTCATTTAATATGAAATGGTTTTAGGTAATAAGTGAAGAAATGCTACTGTCATAGGTATTCACCTTGGCACCTTTTTGGTTTTTTAAACTAAGTCACAGAAACATCTGCCAACAGGTAAAAAAAAAAAAAGAAATTCAATGCAGAACAATGGCTCCCAAGCAAACCTGCTACATAGCTTCAGCAAGAGATAGCTCCTAAAATTAAAAAGTTTATTTTAAATATAGCCCCATTTTGGACCTGGCCTTGCATTCCTCAAGCAGGTGATATCTGTAGGACTTTTGCATGAATTAAGAACTGTATGATCACTCTTTTCCAGTAAGTAGTTTCGTTTAATGTGTTAAACTACTCAGCAGTGTGTGCTTTTGTGTGTATATGCATGTACATACACCGATAGGCACTGTATAGCTATATACACAAGGCCAAACCGCAATTAAAGATTTAGACTTTGAAACTGTGTCCTTTCTTAAAAATAAAATTTGAGGCTCCTTGAGCTCTGATGTTAGCAGCTATTCCTAATTTGCAAAGTCATCAGGTAGCACAACAGTTTAAATATAAAATTACTAAAAAAAAGTAAAAATTGGTATATAGTAGAATATATGAGAGAGAATGATGGCAAGTAGTATTTTAGGGCCATAAGATACTCATACCCACACAGTGTAAGAAAGCCAAGACTCGCTTCCAGCTGTACCAGTCATGCAAAGGCCTTACCTTCATTAGCAAGAATCATGTAACAAACCACTTCCCACAACTGTGTTATTTTTTTATATATCTCATCTCAATACGCTGATATTGTGCCTTTACATTTTAGCATGTTTTTGCCCTTACGCACTCCAGAACTCTGAAGATGAGGTTTTTTGGGTGCTTCTGTGGATGAGTGATAGTTAGTAAAGTGTTAGTGTGCTCTTTGGCACCTCTGTCTCGTTAGTAAAGCAAAGTCCTGCTCCATTTTTTTCTTTAATAAAAAAAAAATCCCATTAGTGGTGCATTCTGTTAGCACTGAAGAGTAGAATAGATCTGTACAGCCTGATGACAGGAAAACATACGAAATGGCAATACATGTGCCTACAATTGTCTTTCCAATCAATTGCACAGAAGCTTGGTCCACTTCTTCAGTTACAGTGTAGTCCTCTTAAGAACTTTGGTTACAGCATTAATGTTTTGGTAAAAAAAAAAAAAACACCACAAAAACAGAGCAGATGCTTTCCTTCTTTTCTTCAGGTAGATTTTTCATTGTCCTCTCCTGTTTTCTGAACCCGTGAATACTTTTTGCATGAAGATTTGAAGCAGCTGGGAGGCCAAGATATCGGCCAGGAAAAGCTGCAAGGAACAGAGCCTTGCACGTTCTTCTCAAAGAAATAAAATATTGGATACCACCACGCTCGAGAGAGAAAGTTTGTCTGCGAAGAGACCTTTAAAGTCTGTATTGGCACAAGTAGATAAAGAGGAAAAGGAAACAGACAATCAGTTCAAAGCATTATAATCAACTACATTGAGAGTCAAGACAACTATAAAATTGCAATATATTTGCATGCATCTCTGCAAAGATGAGGTGCATTTAGTCTAGGAAAAGCAGAATATTGAGATAGCGTATACATCATAGTCCAAATGCATACTACGAACTGAGCATCTTTAAGACAAAAGGATGCTTTGTTGCTGTACAAATTTTAGGGAGATGAAATACTCAAGCCTTTTTGAACATGACTCCTTTCAGGCATGTCACGTTTCCATTGATGACCAACAGTTGAAAATTAGATTACAACAGCTTGAGAACTATGCACCTACTCAAAAGTGTTCTTGAAACAACTGCAGCAGATACAGTTCTTCTGTAAGTGTCACTAAAAGTACGTTGTTCAGAAGGTCACTAGAATTTTAGAATCACCCAAACATGTAATTTAGGTTGGTCAGAAGTTTTATTACTAGACTACTGTTTACCCATAAGCTTCAACAAACAAGGGCTATTCTACAAATCAACTACAGCAATAAAACCTTGAAGTTCAAAAAACGTTAAGCCAAAATATCGGGAATGTGAAAGATAACTTTATAAAAAATTTTTTGAAATAGTAACAGGCACAGATCAAAAAAGAACATCTTCATCCATTAAATATTTACTTAAACCACAGTAAAGTAAAACTTCTTGCCCAGTTTGTTTAAACTTCAATATGGAACCTCTATTTTTAATTTGAAATTAAGAACTAATTTGACCTTTAAACAGTATTAACAAATGCAGGCTATACATTGTTTCTAAAGGTATTTGCCACTCACCTTTTCATTAGCCATCGAGTGGTACCACCAGAAAAGTCGTGTGGTGATATAGTAAGCAATGATGACATCTACGGTATAGTGTTCATGAGCAACAAGGATACAAATTATGCCAGCAGCACTCATTAGCCAGCAGATTAAGTGGTACCACCAGAAATGACGTGGTGAATCTGTGAAATAGGGAGGTGATGAGGAAAAAAAAACACACACACAAAAAAGCCATATACATTATTATAGTAATCCACAAAGAGAAGGGGAAAAAATAAAAAAGATGATTTAATCAAGACTACTAAATTGTAAAACATAACTCCTTTATACCATACTGGTACAAGAACCCTGTTTTAACACAGAAAACAAAACAAAAGAATTATGCAAAATTACTGAGGTGTTCTTACTTTGTAAAATCAGCCCAAAATGAGCTTGCAGTTAGAGACAGACAGCACTGTCACCCATTTTCTAGTTTAATTAATTAAGTTTTCCAGTTAAATCACTTCTAGGGTGTGGGTTGCAGGGGAAGAGGCAGAATTAAGGCAAGACATACACTTTGATTATTTTATTTGGGTATATTGAATCTCTGCTTTTTTTACAGTCTATGCTCCAGTAAACTTACACCCAAGTAAAGTGTCTAGAATTTATAACCTAAGCAGAGATCACAGATTAAAATAAGAGTGTCTTTTCCTGTTTAAGTACTTTGTGTGAAACCTCTGTTCTGTGAAACAGAAAACACTGTACAAGGAAGTACAGTATGTGAATTTATACCCTTTCATTAAAGATTAACAAATGGGAGTGAAGCTATTCTTCAAAAATATATTTAAGCCACTTCAGTGGAAAAGTTCCCCTGTCCTCCTTTCCCCATTGAAAAAGGCCTTGGGTGTCACAATGACCATTCATAACTTCTGACAGGCTAACAGGCTTCATTGCACTCACAGTGGGAGGTCTTGGCACCCCTTGCCTTGTGGGGCAATGGTCAGCCTTTACTTTCACACAATGATGGAGGAAAAGTTACTGATCTCAAGAAGCCTGCCCAGTAGTAGTTTGAGAGGCCCGTGCAAAACAGTTACTGTAGGAGGACTTAAATTTTGGTGCGTCAAAACAGTAAACTCTCTTAACTCTCCAAAACATTGGGGACAAATCTGTATCTACTGATTTTTTATTTTTTTTTTTTTAAAAAAAAAAGGCAAGCTAAGGAGCCAAGTCATCTCAAGAAGTTGATGAAAAACAACCCTAAGCAGGACAGACATACCCAGGCTAAAAATGTAAGTAACTATTGTCGGCAAAAAAAGCTGGAGTGCAGGGGAATAAGTGCAGAAGCAGCAAAGGATGAAAGGAAGAGCAGAGCAAAAAAAAAAATCCACTAAGCCGGAAATAATAAAAACCTCAGAATGCATCTTGTCCTGAAGATATGTCATCAAAAGAGCAGAAGAGAATACCATGAGCAACCTCTAATTCAAGGCAATTAGAGAGCTTAAGCCCTTGCTCAGATAACATCTTGCTAATTATATGGGAGGCAGAAAAAGGAAAGCCATGTGTTTCTCATTCATAGAGCACAACTCTACTGAAATATATGCCTAACAGTTAGGCAGCAAAGGCCTTATTACAAGAACTTTTATGATACAATTCCTCCAACCACTTATGATAAAACTATGTAAGTTATACTAGCCCCCAAAATACTGGGTTATCTGCATTTTTCCTGGTATCCTGGTACTAAAGATATTAAAGAGTATGTGACCAACATTAAGCTGCAAACATACACAAAACAAGGCAAACAAGTCTACTACTACAACAGTTTTAGGAAAATAGCCTAGTAATTTTGACAAGTTACACATGCCATTTCCCCTAGTCAAGTTCACTTTACAAGAAAGACCTAGGCCTAAGAATCAGCAGACCATAACCAGCACCTTAAATCACTGTTGGAAGAAGAATGTCCCACACGTGCACATTTGAAGTTTGTCATTAAACAGGCATTTTTATATCGTGTTTTTTGTTTAAGGCAGAACGTAGCACTCCAACACTTCCTTCCCCTGGCTAGTCTTATCTTTGTTTCAGTGAGAATTACACATTCCCATAGCCAAGCTAGCATTTCCATAGTTTGGGACACAACAGTAGGAGAGAAGATTCCAAATTCCAAACATGTAAACTGGAAAGGGAACCCCCCATTACACATTCATGAGCAGCCAAGTTCCCAGGGTAGAAGCATTGCTTATCACGTATCAGATTTAGAAGTTGGTGCTCGATTCTCCAAAGCTTCAATTGATGCTGTGTGCAGCACAGGTAGATTTTTTTTTCCCCACATGCCCCACAGCAGTGTAAAGCAAAGGAGGAAATCATAACCCCAACTGTATCTTCTGCATACTTGCCAAATTCTTATCAGCTCCAAGAGGCATAAGTAGGAGACTCTAGCAGAAGACATCCAAGGAGCATGAATCCACTTTTCATTGTTTGCAGCAAGTAATGTACAGCACACTTCAAAAAGGGATAACTTTGCTTCTGGATGTAGTATAAGTGTGCAATAACACTGTGCTCAAGCCACAGAGATTCCTTAAAAATCTAAGGTATATCAGCCAACCTACATAGAGCTAATCTGCATACTTGACTACAGTATTTTATCCACAATTTGAATAACCTGTCAATGAATAATGAAAAGCTAGCTTGCTTCAATCAACCAGTAAACACTTTATATAAAGCTAGAAGTGACATGTCTAGTCACATTAAGCCCTTAATTAAAGCCCACACCACTTTTACTACACCTACATTCCATTTTCACTCAAAGTCATCGTTTGTATTTCAAAAACTCATACACGTACAGTCTGTGTACAGCTGACCTGTAACTTTTGGAGGGCAATAGTTTTATATGCACTTTTATCATGTGTTTTCCCAGTACAATAGCTTTGAACAAGACAAGTGCATTGAAATGCCATCACTCACACTCTTTGATGAACAGGTAGATCAGCGTTAATACCACAGTGTGACCACTAAACAGGAAATCTCCGCACAGGATGTGTGATCCAGTTATGGATAGACCACCACCAGAAATCAGTCGCAGGATCCTCTGAACCTTAGCCTGAGAATCTCCATTCAACTAGAACACCAGGAAAAAAAAAAGTACAAAACAGTCTGAGATATACCATAAGTGACTTGAGTAAACTTCTTACCCAAACATTTGTGGAGTCAGGGAGACAGGGAAAAGGACATGGATTATCTTCATTTTCTTCGGCTTTCTTTCACATATTCTTAAACAAATAAGCATTTGTATCAAAGCTGACAGGTGCTGAAGATCAGCTTGATAACACTAGCATTTCATCTATGCCTTCCCAGGCTATTTTAAAATACGTGTTGAACGAGATACAGAATATACTGGAAAGGCAGACATTAAGAATTTGTAAGGTCAGGTATTTCACGACAGCAATTGATGGAACGGATAGAACCCATTCAAAAGTGGTTCCAATACAGTACAACCTTGCATACCACTTCTGTCATTCTGTTCAGAGCTGAGTAACATTTCTACAGGGCAAAAACCTCAAACTCATTTAATTTTAGATTTGGTTACAAACTCAGTCAGGACTTACTTGGATTTAGAGGTTGTTTTTTTCTTTTTAAACATGCATTAGGGTCAGCTTTTGATTTCTCAAAGATACTAGGCAAACACTTTGTTTCACCTAGCTGTTTAAAGATTAACTCTGGGAAAAACCCAAACAAGATAGAGGGATAACTGAGCTTTCCATAATCAGAAAAATATTCACATGGGACAAAAAAAAGAAATCCAGAAGAGCTATCAAATTTTAGCAGAGTTCAAGTAATTCATCCTGTTTTAATGCTAGCAAAATGCACTTTCAGCAGAGACATTTAAGTTTTTGTTTGCTTGCCTGTTCCCACTCCTCAATACAGTCTACTACACACAAAGTCATTCCCCAAGCTACTAGAACAAAACAGTTGAGTCTTTACAATAGTGGTATGTAAATAAAGTTTTCTCAAATAGATACTGACTCATAAGTAGTTCATCCACTATGTTCCTAAGTTGTCTCAGTATGAAAGAGTAAGACTGAACAGACATGACACTGTACGTCAAGACTGATGAGATTCTACCCAAGAAGTGACAAATTTATCCCCCAAGTAAATTTGCAGTATTTTTAGGTTTCAAAATGCTTTTCAGTGCACGACCAAACTCTTTCTTACTCTTTCAAAAGTGCCCTGTTCTTTCAGTGCAGCCAACTCGATACAATTTGTTCTAAGGTAGTTATATGTCTACAACTTTTTATTAGTAACCTAAAATAGCAGTAACAGAATTCCTTTGTGTCACCGCTTAAGTACACTGCCACAAATTTTTTAAATATTAGCATGTACATGTTTCTGTATGTATCAGCTTCTTTAAACAGCTGAACTTGTTTTAGTCACATTTATATACATTTGACAGGTTGGAAGCAGAGACAGGCAGCTGACTTCAAGTATCACAATAGCTCTTGACAAAATAGCGTGAGAAACAGGACAAAGCATACAATAACATTGTTTTTTAAAAGAATACTGCAACACAAGCTTGAGTATCAGCCCATGAATTACAATATTGACCTTAGGTATCCCACCATGTAAGAAAAAATATTGCTGCAGTATTAGAGCGATTAGTTTGAGCCTCACAAGCAAGTTTACTGATTTGTTATCAGCACTATTTCAACATAGGTACTTCTCCTTTACAGCACCTTCACTGCTGCAACAATTTGAGGCTCTTTCTGTATCACACAACTGTTGGTTTATCACTATGTTTCTGAAGGCATCAACTGACAGTAAGTTGTATTATTTAGTAACACCTGGAACATGATCTTCTATTTGCTCTGAGCTGTAAGGACTCAGGCAGAGACTAAGGCAAGAATCAGGGAGCAAAGGTTCTTACCTTTGGCGCACACTGAAAATGCATTCCAGGCACAGGTAACGTGGTAACGTACATAGTGATACAGCGGTACAGATACAAAGTTCCTATTATAAAAAAGAACCTGCGTCCCACTATTGATCTGAAAAGGGAAGGAGGGGAAAAAAAATACTGAGTACAAAGTTCACATGCAGGATATACGTATAACAGTTATGGAGCTCTAGCTTTATTAGATAGCTAAATCCCTAGAATTAAAGAGCAGCTCCACCTCCAGCTCTTCACCACATACTTCTTTAAATAAACCAAATACTAAAAAGTCTTTCTTCAGGTTTTAGCCTTGCTAGCTCATAATAGTACATAAACTACCACAAAGCTCCCACCAATTTAACATGGCCTCAGTCTAACTCAGGTGTGCAGTCACGCAGAGTTTTCCTCAGCTCAGTGACCTTCTCTTTTTAGTCCCATATTACAACCATGTATTTGACTCAAATAGGTATAGTTTAAGCAAACGAAGACAAAAGAAAAAGCTTTAGTCTAGCTGTAGAGGACAGTGGGTTCTTCCTGAAATTTGGATGAGATTTCTTTTACATCATCATGATTTCCTCTGTTTAAACGTCACCATGTCAACAAACACACTTTGAAAAGCTCAATTTCAGAGTAAATTTGACTAGTACAACGTAGGTGTCAAATTCAGATTTTTTAAAAAATTACTCAATAATCAGGAGAAACATGTGTTTCCATATCCAGCACGGACATCAGAACATTTTCTAAATAAGTCATCCCTTTGTCATTTTCCTGCCAGCCTTATTCTACAATATTGCTACAGATCGCACCATAAGATTTCTTCTACCCAAAGTAAACAATGGAAACCAACATTCTGAAAACATACAGCAGAGAAAAAAAATATAGCTACTTACTTGTATCTAAGAAACAACCACTGGAATATCCATAATCCAACTAGTATCATTCCATTTATTTCTGATACAGAAAAAGCCCATTTCACACGATCAATGTAATCAAAAAATTTGTCAGGCAAGGGAGGGCTTAGCTCCTTTGGAGGTACTCTCTCATGGACCACAGTGATCATGACAGTTGTTAGAATCAAGTTGAAGAGAGCATAGACAAAGGCAATGCCTGTTTTCCACCATTCCAGAGGAAATTTGTTCCTAGACTCGGCAGGCATAGCAATCTGGATGTAATCAGGGTATTTCTTTGTTGTTTTTCGCAAGCCATTCGACAAGCCCTTTGGTTTGCTAGTGCCATTTTTGTTCTCTTCACTGACTGAGAGAGTAGGTCGTGAGTAGCTATTTGAAGTGTCATTGTTTTGACCCTCCATATGCTCTTCAAGCTTTGCTGTCTCAATGGTATTCATTCCCAAGCTGTATGGCAAAATCGGGTTTACCAGTGACCAATTTCTGGGCTCTCTGAAGTCTGTTATTTCTCAAAGTCCAACCTTCTTGTTCCTAGATGGTTTTTGATTTCTGTAAAAACTCTAAAAAGTGTCCATTGTGCTTTCACTATTCAGATACTGTAAAGCAAATCGTGAAGACAAATCTTTCTTTCCTCTAGAGCTGTATGATCTGCAAAAAAAAAAATGAAAACAGATACTGAGGACCTTCAGAATCAGTAATGTGACACTGAACAAATATCTTAAAAATGCTTATTCTAAGTTCCATCCAAGTCTACTTACATATACAGTCAAAAGGCAACCTAGAGACAGGTGGTCACTGTGAAATAATTCAAGCCAATTCCTACTGAGTAACTTGATAAACCTCTGATCTGTTTAGGAACTAATACCAATTTAGGCTTTTTTTTTTAAAGGACAAGATCCACAGACTTTAATGATCATGATAGCACTTGCTTTATCCTCTGTCAGAATTAAGACTAATCCATGTTTGCAGCAATATTGAATTTCATTGCTTAGGGGCATTCCATACAAATATATCTCCTTTTTGACCCTAGAGTTGCTAAAGATATTAACACAGTTTGTCTCTACAGATCAGGCAATCTTGTTAGTTCAGGTGACAAGACAGAAAACAGAAGGGCACTACAGGATTTGATTTTGTAACACGTAAAGTAATTTAGATTCATCTAGAAAATCTACTCAACGGATAGCTCCATTAAATTTTCTTGGATCTAAATGACTATTTCAAATAAAAAAGTAAAAAAAGTATCTACATAGCTACTGTAGTACCCACTAAATGTCTGAATTTTTAGAGAACTAAGAAACGTACCTCTAGACTTGATTCTTAATTATGGTAACGTAGATGTAGAACAGACCACAAATGGATCTGTGTTTCTCCTTTAGTTACCTAAAAACGTCTAAATAGGTTTTTTTTTTTAAACAGGAACAAACAGCAAGATTCATCATCGTAATTTATTTCAGGCCGCATTTGTCAATTCAGTAAAATCTCATTCGATAAAAAAAAAATTAGGTAAGTGCATATGTTTTATAACATTTTCTACAAAGTGAGAAGAATGCAGTTCACCTCTACAGAACTGGTATCACTTTAAGAAAAAAACAAAAGGCCGCTTCCTCCCCGCCGTCTTTAATGTTCTGTGAAACCACTTATGTAGTTGTGACGTACCTATTTTTATTACTCTGTTCAGCTCCTACGGCAAAAGTAGTAGTGTCATACACAAAGGATTCACTATCTACCAGCAAATAATAATTCTCTCTTTTTTTTCTGTGAAGTAGCTATTTTTATTACTCTGTTCAGCTCCTATGGCAAAAGTAGTAGTGTCATACACAAAGGATTCACTATCTACCAGCAAATAATAATTCTTTTTTTTTTTTAAATTATTCCTCTAAGAATAGTTCAACACACTACCACCACCTTAAGTCTCTGCCTGCCAACACAGGCTGACACAGTTTGCCATGCTCTATGTACAATTAAGTCATGATGGGAACTAGAGCTGCCAGTCTCCCTAACCATGCATCACAGACCTTGGCTTAAGAAAAAACAACCTGCTTAGGAAAAAACCATCCAGTAACTGACCTCTTGATAGCAAGGACAATGTAAAAACCAAAACAGCCTGGAAAGTTGGGTGTTTGTGCCCACTTCATCCCCTCAAACAGAGAAGACATTTAACATGGTAAGCATGTAAATCCTACTGATTTCCTAGCTGCTGCGCTTACTGCTGAAAAGAGAAGGGGTAAAGGTTCAGATCCCAAATATGTGAGATTCATACAAGTAATACTGAAATAGTCAAGAAGCATTTCTAAATTAACCTCTCAGCAGTGTTCCTGAAATCCACTGTCATCAGTTGTCCTTTTCTAAATCCCTGATCAACAAGCGTATGAAAACTACACACACAAAACTCGAACAACAACTCTCCACCCCTGCAAGAAAACAAGTGGTGATTTCAGATGCTTTTTCTCCCTCTTACTAATCATACTGTAAACTCTGCTTCCCAAAGAGAAAGGGATGTTTAATCCAGCAGCCAGGCAATGACCTCTCTGATGCTTCCTACAACTAGGAATATTCTTTTAGAGCAGCTGCAAAAGCAACAGCCTTACTTAAAACTGTAGTAGAACATCATTCCATTTTCACAAGTCCTTTTCCTAACACACACATTCTTCTATTCCCTCTGTCTACTAAAGACAAGAATATGACAGAACAGTTAAGTGACAGTACAGAAAAAATTCCACATCAGTCTAATTGCTTAAGTTTTGGAACACAGGTCTACCTAGTATTCACCTACTAAGTCAAGACTCTGCTCAATGTATACTGTGTTATACATAGCAGTCACTCATGTAGAGATCAGCAATGCTTGATATATTTTATATCCTGTGCAGTTGAAACGTTTTTAGAATTATGCATTTACTGAAAAACAGAGCATCACAGTAACCGGTAACCTTAGTTATTTCCCATTCTTCCCCACAAATACCTACCACCACTAAAAGCATAAGTAAAAGGAAGATTTTATTTTCAGGTATTTAATGACGTCCAAGCAAGCCTTAAAGATCAAAGAGCATCTAAACTACAGATAAACAATAACCTAACAACCTAGAAGTACAGTGGCACTCAGGTTTTTATATTAACTTATTAAGCAAAGTAATTATACCTACATCTTGCAGGAAAAAGTGGCGTTCCTTCCTGGCACTTTTAAACGGATTGTAAGCTGTATTGATCTGCCATTTCTGATGGCTCATCAGGATTATTTCAAGCAGAGTGCATACTGTGGTCAAAACTTTACCGTGACAGTTGAAGGTACTATATATCATCTATCGGTGATCTGTAAGAACATAAAGGCTTTTCTTTATAGTACCTTCCAACCTGTTTCTCCGATATTCTAAAAGAAAGCAGAAACTGTTGATGAAAAAGACAAAAGCTTGAAGCTTTCAGTCCCTGGCTGCAAACCTGACTGGCCAGGGAAGTGACAGATACAGAGCACCAGCAGCCTAATCATCCTCTGCTACAGCCTGTAAATGGAACTCCCCAGAGGTAACAGGTTTTTCTGCCAAGTCCTGTCCCCAAGGGAGGACAGCCCCTGGGAGGGGTGCGTTCCTTTTACCTTTCATGTTGTCCTTACATTAATTTAGGTACAATATCCTATCACTTTTTTTGTCAAACCTGGCATGCCCCCGTATCAAAAGTGGGAGATGCCCATGAACTGCCCGGTAGTAAGCCTTACAGTTCTTCAGTAACCAGGCAGAGATGCTCAGACCCGGCCATCTTGCCAACATCTCGGGTCTGAAAAAATCAAACCCAATTGTTCTAGGCTAGGGAACATCCACAGGGGGAGTCTCAGACTCAGACAAAATTGGCCAAGTAACCTAAAAGGATAAATAAAATTCCTGTAAGGGGTACACCCACAGTTTAGGAGCAAATTTTCTTTTCGGAACCACTTCAATACCTTCTAAAAATAGACACATACCCTCACCAAAGAACAGAGCTTCTGCTGTAATATTGCTCGTAAGAAGTTGTAATTGCCACAAGGAACAACATATTTCAAGGAAAAATCTTAAGAATGAAAAAGATGCAAAAAGATCAGGGGTCCTAACTGTTTATCCTGAGCTTCTACTTGCTCTCATGCAAATAACTCCTTTAGTTTTCTGCATCCCCATTTGACTGTCATTCAAATTAAAACAGTTGACTGGGGGTACAGCCTTGAGACAAGTGTAAGAAAGCACGTCTAGATTTGGCTCTTTACGCTAGAACTTAAGAATTACAAGCAGTTTTATTTAGCTTGTTAGTCATCTGATTTTCACATAAAGTTAGCTCACAATTAGTGTTCCTCAACCAGTATTTGGAACTTCTGTAACATTTCTCAAAGTATTTTATCAAGGACTGAACAGTCACAATTTGCACAGCCTTCCCAAATAAGTAGTTCTTAACCTGCTGTTCCAAATATGAACAAGGTTATTGGAACAAGAGTGTCCAAAACAGTAAGACTGATCTCCTCTGACATTAAGGAAAACTATACATTCATATAGAAGATGCAAAAGGTTTTAGGCAGCAGTTTTTGTAAACCTCATTCACTTTTGTTAAGGTTGGCTCAAACATTTGATACAGCTGTAATATGTTCTTGTATTTGACAGGTGTAGAAAAACGGTCTGTAAATAAAGTACTGCAGAAAAAAATTACACAGTTGGAGATAACATGAGAACAAGTTATAGTATCATATTGTTATCTATATCACAATTAGCAGGAAACAACTGTTAGCTAGTTTGTATTTTCTTCAGTCAAATTTTTAGGACTACCTATTGGACCAGAACTAGAAAAGAAGCTGGGTAGCCTCTGCTACCTTGACAGCAATGGATAAAAACTGGCTTTTGGGAGTTTCTTTTTACTTTTAAAAGCATTCCAGGTCTCAGTTTGCTTTTATAGTGTCCCTTCTTCCATGCTAGATGTATGCCTCACATGTAGGGCCACTGGGGGAAGAAAAAAAAAAATAAAACCCAAACACAAAACAAAAAAACCCACACACCAAAAACCTTACACTCAGGTATGCAGGATTAAGTTTAAGTTTATTAAGTTTAATAGGTTTGCCTATCATTTCTATTTCACTACAGTAAAAATATTTTCATAGCTGTGTTCATCTTTCAGCTGTATGATGTTTATGCTTACAAAATATAGATACATGCACGAAGGGAATTGCAGTTTATCCACGTTCTCTAACAGGCTGCCAATACATTTCTTGTTCATGTGATGCTAAAGAAGTGCAAGAAAGACAAAGCTGTGTTACAGAGGTACAACTCATTCAAATGTTCTCAGAACTGAGATTATCATCATCATATTGCCACTTGCAATAAATTTCAGCTTTTTATAAAAAGCATTAACTACTTACCCTATATAAAATTGTTTTCAGTAGTAGAAATAGAGCAGATCCCCCTTGACCTCTTGAGAGGTTATTTTGCAATTCTCTCGTTTAGGATTACTAATGTACCAACAGAAGCTGTCTTTTAAAGACTAAAGCCCTACACTTACCCAGATAAAGGGGAAAAGCTTCAAGGTTACTGGTTACCTATTTGTACAATCCAAGTTTTAGTTTCCATTTTCCAGGCATTTAGTATTCAGTGTGTTCCACAGCAGTGCCAGGCTTCTGAAACAGCATGTCCCAAACA